TCTTCAATAGCATTGACATATATACTGGACAGCCACCCCGGATTCGTGATTCCCAGGGGTCTTCAATAGCATTGACATATATACTGGACAGCCACGTTCAGATTTTATTATTTAGATGTTTGGGGTGAACACAAAATCTTTATTTCCAAAAACATCATCAGTGATATTGGCTAAGAATTATTAACCTAAGTAACGATTCTTTACTCAGGCAGAGGCCGGCTTTTTGGTGGTCCACACAATTCTGAAACCTTGATGAGTGGCGTGAGTGCTCTGTGCCATTCCGATAATCTAGTTAAGTGAAACATGGATAGAACCAATGAACCTTTGGAAGCCTAGAAAACCCTCCTAGACATTTCTGCTGGTTCCCATGGGGTAGCCCTAAGTCAAAATCAGCTGGATGGCACCTACCCAGACCAACAAAGAATTCTTACTATAATCTGTTATAAAATGGGGTTCAGTACGGGAAAATTTAATTTCATAGTTATTTTTTCTAAGCCATTGAGAAAACCTTTTATGTGGAAAGCAAAACTTCCTTTAGGTTTTTTTTTATCCTTAGAGAATTATTAGATAGAACTTTGAGAAATTTCTGAAAAGAGTTATGCTAGAATAAATTATAGAATTTTAACCTAAAGTACCTGGATTTTTGTAATCAATAATCAATAAGGTTTATTTAGTACATAATTCAGAAAAATATCAGCCTTTAATAAAGGTTTCAAACGTTTGTGCACATAATTCCCTGGAGAAGGGCATCCTGCTTGGTAAAGCGGAGGAGCAGTGAGGAAGAGGAGGCCCTCCACGGGATGGACGGACACACAGCTGCAGCAATGAGCTCAGGCATAGGAGCAACTGTGAGGACGGTGCCGGGCTGGAGTGAGTGCTTCCTTCTGTAGCGTAGAGGGTCGCTGTGGGTCAGAACCCACTCGGTGGCACCTAGCAACACACAGCAACAACTACTAGGCTAAGTGAATATAAAATAATTGGAGGCAAGTTATTCTAGTTGAAACCTAGGTCATCATTTGAAAGGAAAGAACATCTATCATTCAAAATTTTTAAAGTAATTCCATAAAATAAGATTACCAGATAAATTATGGAATATTTTGAGTTGATGAATCTGTATTGGTAGCCCCAAACCCAACCAGCTCTAACAATAATGTTGGGTTAAACTCACCATGTCAATTAATTGTGAATCAGAGATTTCCAACTCCGAACAAGGTCAGTCAACTTGGGCCAACAGATGCCCTATATAACCTGTATAATATTTTTTAAAGCTTTTATGTTTGAATCATTTTGGGGTCACCTTCCTTTTCTGTTGCTCAGCAGACCCACTGTAGGCTCCTTTCCCATGTTTCTTTCAATTACTGTACATACTCGTGTATAAGCTGAGTTTTTCAGCACATTTTTCAGTGCAGTTTTTGTGGTAAAATTAGGTGCCTTGACTGATATTCGGGTAGGCTTATACTCAAGTATATACAGTAGTTAAGTTACAGCCTGATTTTTGAAGTCATTTGAGTTTTAAATCCCTCTTCTATAGCGATCCCTGGTCCTGGTTATTGTACATCCCAAAGTATGTCTTGGTCAACCCGGTGTGGACAAAAATATGTATTTCTTAGAACTGCTCTAGTTCTGCGCATGCTGAATTTAAGCTCATATACTGTAAGCAATTCATTTTCCCGAAGGTAAAATGAGGCAGAAAATCTATACAGGCAGTCTCCAGATTATGAATGAGTTCTATTCCTAAGTCTGTTTTTAAGTAGAATTTGTACATAAATCAGAAAAGCTAAGTACAGTTTGCATTTAATGTCAGCTAGTTTAATGTTTGTCTTATTATATAGTATACAGTAGCCTTTTTATGCATAAAACATTAAACGTTTTCAGATACACTGAAACATCTTTAACATAGTAATATAGTAATAATCATGTTTTGACAAACACATGTCACAAAGTAATGCTTGTTTGTTACTATAAACCATTGCATATACCTGGAATTTTTATTATAATAGACTTCACAGAAATTAGTTCATAACTACTGGTTGTATGTAACTTGCATGCATAATCATAACCTGGATTGTTCCTAAAATCAGGAAAATATCTGACATCTCCAGATCTGGTGATGCCGTGACAGTCTTGATGATGGTATTATTAGGTGGTGTGATTTTCTTCAGGTGACCTTTGATGTAGCCTGGTCTCCGAAGCACATAGACAGAAGGTGCTATAATTATTCTGGAATTGCCGATGCTTGTGACTTTGTCTTCGTGATGTCGTATGATGAACAAAGTCAGGTCTGGTCAGAATGTATTGCTGCAGCCAACGCTCCCTATAATCAGACATTATCTGGTAAGACTACAAAATGATAACTTTTTAGGAATATTAATCCTGCCACCTCAAACATTAACGTTGCTTTTAGTGACTCTAATTTACCTGTATACATTTCCATCCAAATGTAAACGCTTAGATTCTGGCCTCACTACGCTATGTCCTAATTGTTTGTGTAGTATTGTTGTGCGATCCAAGTGTATACTATTTAAATTGGAAAAATAACAAATTTGTTCTGTTAAATTACAAATTAATTAATTAATCTAAGGTTCTCCCAACTGTGTTGCATGGAAGAGATAATTGTGTTCTATCAATGAAAAGTTCATTGTCAAATGTATTTGGGAAGCAATGCCTACCCTGTGATTGTTAGGTGCCCTCTTGTTGGCGCTGACTCACGGGACCCGGTGTGCAACAGAACAGAACTCCATCTAGGCCTGCGCTATGCTCACAATTGCTCTCTTTGAGTCCATTGTGGCACCCACGGTGCCAGTCCACCTTACTGAAGGTTTTCCTCCTTTTGCTGACCCTCAACTTTGCCAACATGCTGTCTTTATCCAGGGACTGACCTCTTTCGATACGTGTCAAAAGTATATAAGATATATCATTCTCCTTTCTAAGGAGCGTTCTGGCTGGACCTCCTGCATCGCACATCTGTTTGTTCTTCTGACAGCCCTGCCGCTCTCCGTATCGTTCACCGACACCATCATTCAAAGGCAGCGATTCCCCTTCGGTCTACCTTATTCATTGTCCAGCTTTAGTGGGCATCTGAAACAATTGAAAATACCTTGTCTCGTGTCCTGCATACTTCACTTCTCAAAGAGACACTTTTAAACTAATACTGGTGTTGACATAGAATTCACCTATCTTGCACTTCAATAGATCACACCACAAAGGGTTGCTCAGTCATCACCCCGATCAGCTCCAGAACATCTTCTTCCTTCCTGCACCCACTCCAACCAGCTGCCCGTTTCCCTCCATCCCCCCCCCCCAATATGATATGAATCCAATTACTGTCCCTATAGGTCCACCCATCCTGGATTTCATATACTGGAAAACATACCAAAAAACTCAGCAAACAACAACAATAACAAAATAAACCAGAGAGAAACATCAATAAAAAAGCAGAACATATTTAAAATAGGTCAGAAGGGAGATCATATGATAAGGTGTTACATTTTAACCTAACTGGTTCTGCAACAACACACTCTCCATTGCTTCCTGGTCCTTGGCCAGAGGAGATTCACTGGAGGCTCAATCCAAGTACATTTGCACTTTACTTTTTTAAAAATATGAAACAACTTTAAAATAGGTCAAAAGGGAGATCAAATGACAATGTCTTACATTTCAATATCATTACATCTGCCATAATCAACTTTACAATGCTCTCTGTCTGATAGAAAGATTATTCACATCTCTCAACTATGGTCAGAGGGGACTGACCAGAGGCTTAATCCACGTGTGAACCAGCAAATGGCCTTTGGGCTTCCATTGTTATCCACAGCCTTCTGCCATCCAGGTGTTCACAATTTAAGCTCTGATACCATTCCCTCCTTTGGATTTGGATGTTGTTGTTTACACTTGTTTATAATCCTTAGATCACACAGGCTGGTGTGCTTCTTCCATGGGGACTTAGTTGACACCTCACTAAGATGGTTGCTTGTTTAAGGACAAGCCTTTACCACTCCAGAAGCTATTCTTTTTGATAGCTCAACACCATCTACTTTCTTCACCACAATTTGCTATAGCCCTCATATCTTCAGTGATCTCGTCATGGGGCCATGTCACTGCCCCTCTCCTTTACTAAACATGATGTCCTTCTCCACGGACTAGTCTCCCTGACAACATGTCCAAACTACATAAAAGGAAATCGTGCCATCCTGACCTCTAAGGAGCATTCTGGCTGTACTTTTTCCAAGACAGATTGGCTTGTTCTTTTGGTAGCCCTTGGTAGTTTCAGTATTCTTCTCCAGCACCCTACTTTGAATTGATTGATCCTTCTTCAGTCTTCCTTCTCAATGTCCAACTTTTGAACGTGTGTGAGGCAGCTGCATAGATCTTAGTAGAGGGACACGATATTAGTATTTTGGGTGCATTTTATCTGTTGTTAAAATTTAGACTCTAAATGCATGTAATACATTAATGCCTTATCAGGTATGATCAGAGGAAAACAATCTGATGTTTTTACCTCTTTTCATTTAGGATATGATGATTACATCAAGATGGGTATTGACCCCAAGAAAATTGTCATGGGCGTTCCCTGGTATGGTTATGATTATCCTTGCCTGAAACTATCTGAGGTAAGAACAAGTCATGTGATACATCGTTTTTTTCTCTTTCTATTGTTATATATATTAAAGCCTATTTTATTTTATTAGAAAAATATAACCTTTACTTAGAATTCTGGAAATAAATTTGATACTAGAAAGTAAATCATTTATTTCTCATTTTTCAGTCCCAAGAATGCTTCTGAATATTACATATTTTTATTTAATAATGGAATTTAAAATTTATTCTATATAGCTAGGCTATCTGTTCATAACAGATTTTATTTCTGGCAAATACATTTTTATAATATTTTGTGATACACGTCTTAAAATGTGCTGAGTTAATAATTAATGGTTACAACATGATCCCTTTGCTGTTTCTAGGATGATAAATGTTCCATTGCCAAAGTCCCTTTCCGAGGGGCTCCCTGTAGTGACGCGGTGGGACGCCAGGTACCCTATAAAGTGATCATGAAACAAGTAAACAGTTCTGTTTCTGGAAACCAGTGGAATGAAGATCAACAAGCTCCTTATTATAACTATAAAGTAAGTGGAAACAAGTTATGACATTAATTCTATTCATTTTCTTAATTGGGTATTTTCATAGTTTGATATTTGAATATAAGAACTTTCACCCTATTTCATTGAGTAAAGTTACTTTTGAATCTATGCAATCAGGAATTTTCATTCTCTTCAGGGCAATTTAAGTTATGATGATAGTGGATCTGTTCTGCTTGGACCACCTAGATGATGCTCCCAACATAAATATCCAAACAAGATTTCCTTTATTGGTTGAAATTGTGTTATGATGGCTTTTGCCTTTCCAGAGAGCTTTGGAACAAAATGGGTTTTCTGCTCTGGAAGCCTCCATTTCAATGTAGCATGAAGATTCTCATGAGGCTTTTCCAGGGGAAGTACTGAGGGGGAGAATGGGAGATACCGCATCTTGGACTTTACAGGGGAGAAACAGCATCATTTCAAGATTATTTCATAATTCAAGCTTTGTGTTATTAAAAGGATGAATTATAGCTAATGTTAAAAATTAGAGAGAGAAAAATATTATAAAATAAATTTGAAGAAATATAGTAATAGATCAGCAAATCTGTCAGTTGTTGCTTGATAACCAGGAGTTGGTATACTAAAGAAGTCAAGAAGAGTTACAATTTTCAAGCATAAAAAAGTATGTCAAAAATGAAAGGGCAAATAATCATTGAATTTGCTTTGGATTAGGTTACTATAGAAGGTACTCTAAATGGTATACACTCTCTGCTGCAAAGGTTTATGTTCCTGTCTAATGGATTAACAACCATTTATAAGATATGACTACAAGCACCACATTTAATAAATTATAATCAATACACATGTCTAAGCCTGATTATCAGTTATATAGAAGACATTAATCCAGAGCTTTCTAGACTTTAAGATCTGAAGTGCATGTCTTTTAGTTAAAACCCTCCCCACTCCCACTACCATGACTCGAATTCGATCTTGCAAGTCTGGCTAGACCAGAGGAGGTACACTGGTACAGATAGGAACTGAAAATACAGGGGATCCAGGACGGATGAGCCCTATAGGACCAGTGGTGTGAGTGGCAAAACAGGGAGGGTAAAGGGAGAATGGGTAGGAAAGAGGGAACCGATTACATGGAACTGTGTGACCTCCTCCCTGGGGGACAGACAACCGAAAAGTGGGTGAAGGGAGACGTCGGACAGGGCAAGATATGACAAAATACCCATTTATAAACTATCAAGGGCTCATGAGGGAGGGGAAAAATGAGGACCTAATGTCGGGGGTTTAAATGGAGAGAAAATGTTTTGAGAAACGATGTACAAATGCGCTTTACACAATTGATGTGTGTATGGATTGGGATAACAGTTGTATGAGCCCCTAATAAAATGTTTAAAAAAATACAAAAGAAAAAACAAACAAACAAACAAAAAAAAAACCCAGGGTATTGTAATCCTGTCTTTGTCAAACAGTTTCGTAAAATTCTGTTAGTGTTTTACACACACATGCTTGTTAAATGGCTGAAAATATTTGGAAAACACTCTGTACTCTATGTCCCTCTTGGCGGCATAACATGTCAACCAGAATATTTAAAGGATCAAGGGAGGCTTGTCAGGAGCCCCGTTGGTGTCGGGGTGAAGTGTGCCCTGACAGGTTGCTAATGAAAGGTCAGCAATTGGAAACCAGCAGCAGCTCCCTGGGAGAGGCCCAGGGATCTGATCCTACAAATGTTACAACCTAGGGGACCCTATGGGCAGGTTTACTTGGTCCTAGAGGGTTGCTGTCGTGAGAACTGACACATGACAATTTTATGCTGTCTTGATAGTGTTTAATTGTTTAACATAGAACTCCATTTCACAGCACTCTTCAAAACCTACATAAAGAAACATGTTTCATTCTATCAATTTTGCAAAGCAAAACAAACAAAAAGGTTGCCATTGAGGCGTTCCCAACTCATGGTGACCCCATTGGTTTCAGAGTAGAACTGTGTGCCCTCGGGTTTTCAATGACATCACGTGTGGACCTCAAACGAACAAACTGGTTGCTATTGAGTCAATTCTGACTCATAGTGACCCTACCTGACAGGGAACTGCCCCTGTGGGTTTTTGAGACGGTAACTCTTCACAGGAATAGAAAGCCTCATCTTTCTCCCTTGGGGTGGCTGGTGGTTTTGAACTGCTGCCTTTGCCATTGGCAGCCCCAAACTTAACCGCCACAGCACCAGAGCTCCTGGTGTGGGCCCAGAGGTTTGCATTTTTTTAAGCTCTGCAAGAGATTTAAATGTGCATCTTGGGTGATAAATTTGGATGGGACCCAGGAAGATACATTAGAGGATGAGCAGAGCCTTAAATGAAGTACCGTATATACTCGAGCACAAGCCGACCCGAATATCAGCTGAGGCACCTAATTTTACCACAAAACTGCATTAAAAATGTGCTGGAAAACTTGACTTATACACGAGTCTATACGGTACATTGCAAGCCCATTTGTGTAATCTCTGGTGTTATTGAGTTCCACAAGCAATAATTTTTAGAAAGCATCAGATACAGAACTCTGAAATAAGAGAGGCTGCAAAGTATTGTGCCTGAGTTTTCTTTTTTGTCGTTTCGTTCCATGTTTTTTGAATCATTAGATTTTAGATACGTTTTTCCTTCTGACTGCACTGCTTACTTTGCACCTGTATTTTCATCCTCTTGCCCAGGATTCTTCGGGCCGTTTTCATCAGGTGTGGTACGACGACCCTCGGAGCATTTCTCTGAAAGCAGCCTACGTACAAAGCCATGGCTTGCTGGGCATTGGCATGTGGAACGCAAACTGTCTGGACTACTCTGGAGACGCTGCAGCTAAACAGCAGACAAAAGAAATGTGGGAAGTCTTGAAACGAAAGCGGTGACAGGATTGAGCATATTTTGTGGGAGCCTCGTTTGTCAAACAATCGACATTAAGAAAAATGATCTTCGTAAACATATGTCATTTCTTGAAGACTAAGTAGATTACAGCATATGTATATGTATATATTTTGGTTGTGCTGCTATATGCTTTTTAATTAGCATGTGCACAAAGGTAAAGAATAAAGAAATATTTTGATGGCTTGGATTTGAAAAATACATACATATAAATAAGTGTGCCAGTCACACAAAAGTAAGAGAAAATATCACCTTCCTCTATTAAATATCCCCTTCTACGATGTTTTAGCAGTATTTTCATTAGTACTCATCAGGGCTTCAAACTGAATCAGCCCAGTTCAATCATGGACACACAAGTGACACCAGAAGAGACCCAAATTTTAAGAATTTTTGTGAAGTGGAGTGATAATCACAATGGGAAAAAATATGGTTCCCAGCCCCACTAGAAACTGAATGTCCATTTTAGGGCCGCGTCCAGTCGAGTATGGTAAGTGGGAGACAGCAGTGCCCAGGTTAAAGATGGTGGCTAACTGTGCCACTTTGAGTTCATGGCGTGCTACGCAGGCTTGCCCACAATCCGTTGCCTAGTAATTTAAAAAAATTAAAAATTTGCCTAGTGCAAACCAACGCCAAAACCAAAACAGCTCACTGCCATCGAATCCGTTCTGACTCACAGTGACCCGATAGGGCACCGTAGAACTCTGGGTATCTAGACATTTACTTTCTATTGAGTTCTCGGTACCAGCTCTTCTTTTTTCTCCGCCCCCCTCCTTTCCCCCCACCTCACAGCCCCCCCCCACCCCCATCCCGATAGATTGTAGAAACCCTCATCTTTCTGCCTTGGAGAGGCTGGTGGTCTCAAACAGCTGACCTTGCAGTTAGCAACCCAATTAGTAAGAAAGAATCCACCACAGCTCATGTACAATTTGAACTAGAAATGGTTAGACGAGTTTTTAAAGCTACTATTTTAGAGCAGCTTACTGTTTACTCCCCCCCACTCCCAATAATTTACAACGTCAAGCCTGGAGCCCTCGTGGTGTGGTTAGGTGTGAGTCTGCTAACTGCACAGTCATTTCGAAACCACCAGGAGCTCCGCTTTGGAAAGAGGAGGTTTTCTATCCCCAGAAAACCACCCGGACAGTTCTACCCTGGCATGTAGGGTCACTATGTCAAAGCTGATTGCTGGCAGTGAGTTGGGAGTTTGATTTTCAGAGTTAGCAGAGTGATGAAAACTTTTCTGCTACAGTGCTCGTCTTCTCTGAGGCACCTGAACAAAATTCACTTCAACATCTACCTGGTGAGTGAGGAAAACCAAGAATATAAATGACAAAAATTGCTGATGAAATAAGATCATTTAGTAATATTTTTAGTTAGTAGGCTAAAGATACCTAATATTTTCCAACTAAACTAAGCATTGATGGGCTTATTCTAGGGTGCTTCAAAAAAATCATGGAAAAATGAAATTAAATTGAAAGAGCTTTGTGATGTCCCCACTTGTACATGAGAATTTTACACCAAGTATATCTTGTGTTCATCTTGATTTTATGCATGGTTGTTTACTCTTCCAATTATTCAGGTTCCTTCATTAGTGGACCTCTATAGTTTATTTCTTGCTTGGTTTCTTTATGTGGTCTCCCCCCACCTCTTTTTCTACATCTGCATTTTACTTTTAATTATTTAAAGACATTGATTGGTTTCTCAACTAGTGGGAAACTACAAGAAAATTTGGGCAGATAATTTTCTAAATGTACAGAAATGTCAGTTCTCTTTCTCTGGGTGATCAAGAACACTTGGCTGTCTTTCTATTGTTTCTGAAAACCAGCGTCCTTGCACTCTGAACTTTTATGAATTCTGTCTTCCTTGCCAATTTCCTCTCACCAAATAGAAATAAATGATGCTTCAAGCATCTATTATGAGGTTATATTTCCTATTTGTAATTGCATATGTAAAAACAATTGTTTTCCATAGTGTATGCTAAATAGCTGTTGTCTTTATATCCCTACAAGGAGTTTAAATTCTAAGTTATCAGTTACTACAACCTGAGTACATTAAATAGCAAGTTCAAAACCCTGTCTATAGATTTCCATATGCTCTTGGGACTGCTAACTGCAAGACCATGAGTTGGAACCCCCCTGCCACCCCCCAGGAGAAAGATGAAGCTGTCTGCTTCTGTAAAGATTTGCAGCCTCAGAAACCTCACACAGAGTCCAGATGAGATGGAATCAATTCAGTGGCAGTGGGCTGGAAACTTGTTAGAAATGAAGCGCCACAGTTTTCTCCCCAGATCTGAGAGAGGATCTGCATCTCACCAGGACTCCGCCTTGATCCTTCCACTGCCTGTGCTTCATTATCTTAAACCCGTATAGTTGCAACAGGCTAGGTATTCTGCATTTTAGTTCTGAATCTGAAAAGGTTGGCCTTTTTGGGGGTAGATTATTCAGAATTCAGTACATGGTTATTACAATGTTTACCAGATACTCTGGTTAAATGTAAGTCTCCAACCCTACCAGTCTGTCTCTATATATTTAGTTTCCCTTTTCTTTTATTTGTGATTGCAGTTTTGTAATAATAATTTCAATTTGGATCGACACTCCTAGGTAGTACTTATAAAGTAAAATATGCAAAACTGGGAGAAAGCAATGTGCAAGCTCTCGGGAGAAAGGACATCAGAAAGCCGTCGTTGAAGGTGCTGCTGTTGTTTTTAATGATTTTTCCTTCCTCCTGACCAATATCCATAAGTGTACAAATTACCCCTTTCAACATTGGCATTCTTTCCTTTGCTTATCTACACACTGAGCGTCCATTCATAGAATGAGTTATTTGGGGGGAGCACATGTTGTATATAGTTAATGTTAAATCGTATTTTATTTGTTAAACGTCATTCTTGGCTCTTTTCCTTTTCTGCATTTGAAGTTTCTCAGTACTGAGCCAGGACTTAGTCTCAAGTATGCTACTAGGAAACGTTAGCTAGGTGACCAATCGGTTCCCTACTGTCACACATAGCCATTTAAATTAAAATGAGCTAAAGTTTAAAACTCACTTCCTTAGTCAAAAAAGTCACATTTAAAGAGCTCAGTGTGTTATATGGCTAGTAGCTGCCATATAGGTCCGAACATGAAACGACTATTTCCACCATTGCAGAAAGATCTGTTGGACAGTGCTGATTCTAGAAGGAGTCCTCCGTGCCACACAACCAGTTCTAATGAAGAGATGACTTACGACTGGTAACTCAGTTTATATAGTGCAAAGAAACCAGCTTGGGGGTGATTTTTTAAATTTTAATTTGAAATATTCATATAAAATACAAAATATTAGCGGAATGCAGAAGCTGGAGCCCCAGAGAATATAGTTATTAAGGAAGGTTTCGGAGTTCACCATCATGCAAATAAAAAAATTGAATTGCTGATGTGCATTATCAAATGCTCAGAGACTGATGAAAAAGAGTGTATCACTGGGTCAGATCTTAGTGATTTTCCCTCATTTCCTTATGAACTGGCTTTGTGCAGAAACAACTAGTCTCTTTAATGCAGACTAAAAGTAAGTATAATGATTATGTGTGTAAACATCAATGATATCATGAGGTAACATCATTCAGGTCTTGGGAGCCATTGAGTAGGTTCCAACTCATAGTGACCCCGTCCTCCCCTACCTACCCCGCCCCCGCCCCCGCCCCCGGGTCCGACCGAAGGAAGCGCTGCTCAGTCCTGTGTCACACTCACGGTTAGAGCTATGTTGGAGCCCATTGTTGCAGTCACAGTGCTAATCCATCTTGCCAAGAGTCTTTCTCTTTTTGACTGACTCCTACTTGACCAAGCGTATAGAGCTTTCCCAGCGACCGGTATTTTCTGATACTATGCCTAAAGTCTTACCCTCTTGTTTATATGGAGCATTCTGGCTGTACTTCTTTTTTTTTAAATCATTTTATTGGGGTCTCATACAACTCTTTTCACAATCTGTACATACATTGTTTGTGTCCAGCACATTCGTACACATGTTGCCATCATCATTCTCAAAACACGTAATTTCTACTTGAGCCCTTGGTATCAGCTCCTCATTTTTCCCCTCTCTCCCTGCTCCCCCCTCCCCCCTCCCCCTTGATAATTTATAAATTATTATTATTTTATCATATCTTACACAAACCAACATCTCCCTCACCCACTTCTCCGCTGTCCATTCCCCAGGGAGGAGGTTATATGTAGACCTTGTTCCCCCTTTCTCCCTCACCTTCCCTCCACCCTCCTGATATCACCACTCTCACCACTGGTCCTGAGGGGTTCATCTGTCCTGGATTCCCTGTATTTCCAGTTCCTATCTGTGTCAGTGTACATCTTCCGGTCCAGCTGGATATGTAAGGTACAACTGGAATCATGATAGTGAGGGGGAGGAAGCATTTAAGAACTAGAGGAAAATTTCATCGTTGCTACACTGCACTCTGATTGGCTCATCTCCTCCTCGCAGCCCTTCTGCAAGGGGATATCCAATTACCCCAGATGGACCCTGGGTCCCCACTCTGCACTCCTCCTCATTCACAATGCTATGTGTTTTTGTTTTTGTTTTTGTCTTTCATGCCTGATACCTGATCCCTTCGACATCTTGTCATCTCACAAGCTGGTGTCTTTCTTCCATGTGGGCTTTGTTGCTTCTCAGTTAGATGGCCCCTTGTTGTCTTTCAGCCTATGGGACCCCAGATTCTATATATTTTGACAGGTGGGCACCATCAGCTTTCTTCACCGCATTTGCCTATGTACCCGCTTTGTCTTCAGCGTTTGTGTCCGGGTAGGTTGGTGTACTTCTTCTGTGTGGGCTTTGTTGTTTTTTTAGCTAGATGGCCACCTGATTGTCTTCAAGCCTTTAAGACCCCAGACGCTATATCATTTGATAGCTGGGCACCATCAGCTTTCTTCACCACTTTTGCTTATGCACCCACTTTGTCCTCAGCGATGGAGTTGGGACAGGCTGGTGTGCTTCTTCCATGTGGGTTTTGTTGTCTCTCAGCTAGATGACTGCTTGTTTATCTTCAGGTCTTTAAGACTTCAGATGCTATATCTTTTGGTAACTGGGCACCATCAACTTTCTTCACCACATTTGCTTGTGCACCCATTGTCTTCAGCGATAGTGCTAGGCAGGTGAGTATCTCAGACTGCCGAATTGTTAGAACAAAGTGTTCTTGTGTTGAGGGAGTACT